TACCTTATCCGCCTGTTGCAGTTCTGTGGTTGTTCGGTTCTGCATCTGTATAACTCTGCACTGTTGTCCAATTAATTTATTTTTCCAGTAGAGCATTTTTCCCTAATGCAAAATCTTGTAGTTCGAGTTGGATAAACCTTATAGACGAAAAGTTAAGAATTGTTCATTGGTCAAACCATACCCAAAACCAGTCATAAATGCTGCTTACGTTTTGAGGCAGGCACAGGTCATTTGCGTTTGTTGTTTTTCATTTCTTTGTTATTGTATGACAGAGAGGCTAGAAAATATCTGTAGTAGGGGAGTGATTTGATCCGTAATTACAATTCTATTTGCATGCAAAGAAACTCTAGTTTCTGCTAGTTTCTATGATGCCAGTTTCTAGTTTAGTTTCTACAATACTGCTCTAAAAAGAGTACAAATGTAGAGAGGACCTCTAAAATACAATAACTGCTCTTTATTAGAGTAGTATTACGATGTTTCTGGAAAAAATGGTTTAAATTTTTTTAATTAGAAAAATCACTGTCTTATCCATCATTCAAAACCACTCACATCTCTCAATAACAGTTTTGTCTGTCAGTTTGAGACCCCAGAAAATACTCTCAAGACAACTGTGACAGAAGACAACCAATTGAAATTAGTTTTTAGTTCAGCTCACTTCAGCTAAGCTGCAGATAATACAGGGATGCTGCTGTAAGATGCAATATCCCAGGAAAAACTTGAGCTTTATTAGCAAACTGTTAACAGCTGTCTGAGATATGGGAGATCTAGGCTGAAATCCCTGCTTTGAAAGATAAGCAGTGCTCTGATTACACACCCCCTATCCAAGGCTAGTGCTCTGTTCTGAGATGCAGCACGGCCCCTAGCATCAGGTATCAGAGGGCATGGAGTTTGAAAGGTTGTGCAAATTCAGATGACTAAAGTGTTTTAATTGATCATGGAATCATAGAATCGTTCAGGTTGGAAAGGACCTTTAAGATCATTGAGTCCAACTGTTAAGCTACCACTAAACCATGTCCCTAAGCACCACTTCTACACGGCTTTTAAATACCTCCAGGGGTGGGGACTCCACCACTTCCCCGGGCAGCCTGTTCCAATGCCTGACAACCCTTTGGGTGAAGAAATTTTTCTTAATATCCAATCTAAACCTCCCCTGGCACAACTTGAGGCCATTTCCTCTCATCCTGTCACTGGTTACTTGGGAGAAGAGACCGACCCCCACCTGGCTACCCCCTCCTTTCAGGTCGTTGCAGAGAGCGATCAGGTCTCCCCTCAGCCTCCTCTTCTCCAGGTTAAACACCCTCAGCCGCTCCCCATCAGACTTATGCTCCAGACCCTTCACCACCTTTGTTGCCCTTCTTTGGATATGCTCCATGATGCTGCTAATGTGCTTGAAAAATAAGATAGAATAGTCAGAGATTGATGCTGTCTAGTCCTTCTGCATAGTTTCTGCAATACAAGGAATGCTTTCAGATTCTAGTTACTCTTAGTTCCTCTTGCTTGTTCATCTTTTCTCACTCGACTTAAGCTCAGGCTTTGAATTTTAGCTTATATTGATGGAGTGCACTATGGAAGACTTCATGCTTTGAATTCCACTTCATGTCCAGGCATATCAGTCAGCATCTTGATTTTCTTTAGTTTATCATCTCCTGTGCATGCCGAGTCTCTGCTGGAAGAAAAATCTTTCTGCTTGTATATAGGAATTTTAGTTAAGGTGTTCAAGTAAACATTCCTATGTCTTAGGACAGATTTGATATTTTTTTTCAGGACAGGATTCTTGTCTTTTTGCTCCAGGGTTTTGCTCACCTGTCTATCTGGCTCCCTTCTCCAGATGTGCAAGAAATATTTGTGGAGAAGCAGCATGGAAGAATTTATTTTAATCCAAAGAGTAGATTTAATAGATTCAGCCTAGTATTCAAAACTAGTGAAAATGGGCAAACAGTGCATATATTTCCTTAGATGCTACAAAGTTGTAGGATGTTGAGGGGAAAGATTATATAGGTATTAAAAGTACCAGAAGGAAAAACGAGAAACAAAAATTACCTTTCTTGGTGTTTGAAGTTAATGGAGTTGGTTGCATTTAATGGCATATTGGATAGATTACACAAAGTTCTCCCACTCCCACCAGTAACAACATCCAACAGCTTGTAAAAACACATTCTGCTTTGTAGCAAGCTGTATTAGGAAGACAATGCTGCCTGTGTCCACCTTTCCAAACAGGCATTTAGGTTCAATCCATATGGGACGGCAGTGTTGCAGTACTACATTTCTAGGCAAACCATCAGGGATGATAAGCCTTCGGGTTGCTTTACCTAAGTCCGCTCCCCGCCAGCCTGCTCCCTGCTCCCCGGGAGATCCGGGCGAGTACAGCACATCCACAATGCAAACACACCATGATGCAGGGATTCTCAGGCTGGGGCAGCCTCATCCACTAAACCAGTATTGTATGGTGCAATAGTGCAGGAATGTACCAGCTCAGACTTGAAACTACTTTCTACATGTATCTGCATAGTGCTACACTGAACTAAAGCTTTTTTCCCTCTCTGAAAGACTTTTTTTTCTTTCAGGGCAAAGTCTTGGATGTAGCATTCCTACTTTCAAGGGTACCAGACCACTAAGCTGATGTGTTTGTAGGAGTCTAATATCTGGATTAATGTATAGTCTCTTTAGAAAAATGGCCTAAGCAGTAGATCGTTAGCTAAAGCAAGACAGTTTCTCTTCTGACACTGTCTTGCATGGGGTCCAACAGGGAAGGTGCCCACTGAGAGGTGGACTGTCTTGGGACAACACCGACTCTGAGGTTCTGCTCTGAGACTGGACTGTGCACCGCTCAAAACATAAAATCCCAGATCTAGACAAAACTTCTGAGGCTCTCAGATGTATGCACATACTTGTTTTAGGGACCAGGCAAATCCTGGCTACATGATTTCCTTTTGGGGAATTTAGCTGTTGCACTGCTACTATACGTGAGTTTTCTTCTCCAGTCTTTCTGACTTCAGAATATCCTCAAAGACACAGGGGAACCTTCAAGAGGTTAATGGTTTTCTTCTGTCAAATCTGTAGAAACTTGTAAATTAAACTGGTTGAACACCAATTATTAGTCATCATTGCCGTAGGACATTGGTTTTTACTGTTTGCTGTAAAAACAATGACATAAACATAAGCATTCTAATCGCTTTTACGACGTTTATCAAATCGCTCCAGTAAAGCCTTCCATATGCTGCCTGGGATTGTTTGGTGCTTGCTTATGAGAGCCTGGACGGCAGTCTTTGTCTGAAAAGAGAAGAGCAAGTTGCCATTACAGACCTGCTTATGCAAGGAAAAACAGTATCATCACTGACTTCTCAGAGGTTCAAGAGAGATTAGGAAATTCACACACAAGATCAACTTTAAGAAAAAAGTTGTCTTTTATATTAGCTAGTTGTCCTAATGACACTTTCCTTGGAAAGAAAAGGAATAAAAACATTGATTGCAGTTTGGATCGACTCCAATTATTGAGATTTATCAAACCTGGGCATTACTACATCAAAGTAGCCTTTAACACATGCAAACATTAAATTTGTGCAATCTCCATCCCTGAAGGCTTTCATCAAAAGCGCTGGATAAAGCCTGACTAACCTCATCTGATCTCACAGCTGACCTTGCTGGGACCAGGAATTTGGAGGAGGGACCTCTGTCTGTCCTTCCCAACATGAATTCTTCCGTAATTGTATCATATACAGCATGCACATAGTAAGAGAATTCATATCTAAATTCTGTTCATTTTTGTTCTACATGAGATTCAAATGCACATTTGTGACGAGAATCCATAAAATATTCTGTATTTCTACTAGGGATAAGAAATCATCTCCCTTAGTTTTTCCTTATGTATTTAAATTTGAAATAAGGGTAGATACATACTCTGGTGATCTACCCCAAAGTGATGGTAGAATGTCACTGGGAATGAGAAAAGAGTAGCCAAACCTTTCCTGACAGATTCATGTCCTGACTCCTTTCCAGGGCAGGATCAGGTAGAGGTCAGCCAGGCCACTGCTCATCTCAAATCCCATTTAAGTTGGGGTTTTTTAACTAACATGAGCCACAGAAGACCTAACCATACTCCCACTGAGGTGGGTGGTCAAAGGCTTGACTTAGTAAAGCAAATCAATGTCATGGGAAATTTCAAGCTCAGTTTTGCAAGTACACAAAATATTGTTCCCCCAAAATACAAGAATACGGATAACCATAAAGGCAGTCTTAGCACTAGTATTGCATCCAGCCTCCTAAACCTGCTAAGACCAAACTCTGCAGCTTGTCGGGGCAGTTCTCCTGTAACAGACCAAACCTGTCTTTCTGGTTTCACGGCAGTGAAGCCTAGAACAATCTGCAGTAGATCCTTAAAAAAAAAGGAAAAAAAAAAAAAAAAGAAAGAAAAGGAAAGAAAAGCTATTCTTTTGCATCTTTCTGAGGGCAGCAAGGTGTTTTTTCCATCAGTGATGCCTAACAAATGTTTTGATCTGTGTATTCCTAGGCCATAAGAGATTTTTTTTTGTGTAAACCCCTCCTTTCATCTTCTATGAAAAATTTTTTAAACTGCGTTTTCTGTATAGAGTTGTACTTTGAAAAATGCCTAAATCCTGGATCTAGAAAAGTTTTTATGCTCCTGGGCACCACTGATTTTACCAAGCTGTAGGTAGTCAAAATATTTTTATATTTTGGATGCAAATTATTTTTTAACAGACAGAGCTCACACATTCTGAAAGGATGAGGGCATCCCAATCAACTATTAACTATGTCAATACCTACTTGTAGGTATCCGTACGTTAAATAATCCTGGAACTTAACTGCTCATTGCTTTAACAAGCTAGTAAAAGTGTATTTGTCTTTCTTCAAGCATACAAAAAACTAGTTTCAAGTGCTTATATAATAGAGGGCAAAGTATGTAGTTCAATATTGCAAGGAGAGCTAACTTACTTTTTCAGCTAATTCCTCCGTAGTTATATTCGGATCATAAGGGATTGGCTCCCCAATGTATGTTCGAAATTTAACTGGAAGTCCTCCATACGGAGGAGTTAATGGCAGTCGAGTACTTTCATACAACTGTCTAAAAAATCCTGAAACAGTTTAAGGGAGGAAAAAGTGAAATTACAGTCACAGAAAACGCAATACAAACTCAAAATCTGATTAATATGGAAGACTTCTTAAAAATGCATGGTTTATCTGACATTCAGGAAGAAATGACAGGATTTAGGTAACTGTCCACCAAAACAAAGCTCAATAGACTTAACAGATCACTGAGATGAGACTGCATTAAAGAACCAAATCACACAGCACAAACCAGTTACACACAAGCTATTTCCTCTGACTCCCAGCAAGCATGTTAGAGACTCCAAAGCAGAAGTCTGAAAGCAACAACTAAGAGAGAAGTGAGAGAAATATGAGAGAAAAGTGGAGAAAACATTCCAAATATTTAAAATAAGTTCTTACTTCTTTCTTTAAACATCCTATATCCTTCCCGGACATTTTGAGTATACATTGGAATGATTGGCTAAGGAATCACAAAAAAACCAAAAAGGTGGAAATGTTATATCAGGTTTGTATTTATGTTTTAGTGCCTGTTAATGCAGGTAAGAAAGTCACTTGAATACAGAGGATAATCAGCAGTCAGTTAAGTAGCAAACAAGGAATCTTGTTATAAAAAATAAACTCCAGAGTAGAAATAAAATTCTATTTCTCAGCTCCCACAAACGTTGCTGTTTTAAAGTCACCATCTGTAAGGAAAATGACTGACATTGTATTAGAAGTTTAGATAACTTGTATGTTATATATTTATTGCAGTATTGCTCACTGAAACATAAAATGAAGTTTTGCAGTTTCTCTGTCTAAAGCTTGCATCACGTGTGGCGAACAGGAAAGTATTCAGTTTGTGAAATTTTGCAGAAAGCAAGTAAACATTCATATTTGGCTCATCTCATCTGCTTCTCAAAGTAAGGTCTCACCAAAGCAGTAATGTTTGGATAATACCCTACCAGAGAAAACTTCTGCAGATCCCTTGGACAAATAAAGCAATTGTATGTCCTCATTGACCTGGACTACACACCTTCGGGAGGGCAGATCCTTAGGCAGTTACAGAACAAGTTCACTTCGTTATTGTGACTAAAAAGAAAGACACTTGAGATACCTGAATTTGAAACAGTCAAGTCTTACAGCCTGAGGTAAGATTTCATCGTTTGTAGACACACTACCAGTGATTGTATCCATACATACAACGACTTTTTTCCCCTCTATTGTCCCTTCTCATTTTTTTTAAACCATATTTTGAGCATGTTGTTGGAATTACTTGTCCAGAAGGTTATGAAAGAACACCTTTAAGCTATTAAGAATCACTACCACAGAACAGAAACCACAGGATGAGAAAAAAAACAAGCAAGGAAAAGATCTAACTAGAGCCTAACAAAGAACTCAAAGTGATGGAAATCATTTAAAGGAAAAAATTCCTGACAGGTAACAAAAATATCAAACATACATAAAGTTGTAATAATAAACCCTTCAGAATGAGAAATTAGGGATAATTATTAGCAATAAACCTTCAAAAAGAGTCACCAACATCTTTTAAAAGCGTATAATTACTGGACACTAAAAATACCACACTTGGCTCCAGCTATTGATTGAATACTCTAACACTTAAAATGTTTGAAAACCACCTATCATAGAGACAAAACACTTTAAAATTTAGGAATAGTGCAAAAGAAACATATCTTAGGCTATAAGGAAATCTGGCAACTACGAAAGTTACTGGCATGCAGTGACCAGCCAATGAAGTACAGAGTGGGTACCAGCGTTCAGACCCTAAGCTGATAAAAACGGGTACACACATAAAAACTTGCATCTGTAAAGCAGCACAATCAGATCTGCTGTAACCCCAGATTTAGATTTGCTGTGCTGAAACTGAGCTGGATCACACCCAACCAGCTTGAACACCACAGAATCACAGGATAGTTGAGGTTGGAAGAGACCTCTGGAGATCATCTAGTCCAAACCCCTTGCATATACATAATAATTCTATAAACCATAGTCCCTGTGTATCTTTTACCTAACTAGACTTGAACCAATTTTTTGGCCCAGATAAAATGCAGGGATCTTCAGAATTCTTCCCCATTAGCCTGTCAAACTCCAGCCACAGGCAGAGGGTATTTCTGAAGCTCAGGCCCCTGGCATAGATAAATCTGAATGAGGCAAATATATGTCCCAGCAGTTCATTGAATCATAACATTAAATAGTAACACTCTCCTTCTCTCACCCCAGGTAAGCACTCTATATTAAGGGCACTCAAGAGTTTTTTAATTCAATTTTTATTTTAAAAAAACTTACTACATTGTAGAATTACACCGTAAGGTTCTGTGTGAAGTGAAAACATCTGGCAAAAGCTTGTTCAAACGTTTGAAGTAACTTGAAAGAGAGATACGAAGGCAAAATGATTAGAAATCACTCAAGTTGTTAAAGTGACACCTCTTTCTGACTGTTTGAGTATATTATTAAATTAATACATAAGACGAAAGACTATATGGGAGTTCAGAATGCTCATTTGACTTTGACTGGGTTTATTCTATTCACATTCTGATATTTTCCTAGTAGTGGTGGTATACAGGCCCATATAATATATGAAGTATTGTGAGTAACATTTACCAGCCCACGCTTTTGAGAAAAAGGACAAGAGAGGGAACAGAACCACAAAAAACATGACTTTTAAAAGGCCACATAACAAGACAAAAGGTAGAAATAGGACTCCCAGCTTAAAATTACTTTATCCATTGGATAAATACCCCTAAATTTATTCTAGTGTTTACTTAACTCCCCACAAGATTTCAGAGACAGATAAAGTTATGAAGAAATATTAACCCATGCATTTTGCAGCCCTAGGTACTTTGTAGTAGGAGCTACAGCACAAGAGACCAAAGCAAAGGTTGAGAAGCAACAAATTGGATGGGGCGAGAAAGAGAGATAACTGCACAAAAAAACTGAAAGGAATGGTAAGAAATTCAAGTTTCTTCAGAACTCAACTCCCTGGGCAGATTCTCCTATATAGACAGAAAAGGATTATGTTTATGTTGAAGGCCAAAGAAGAGCACTGCAATTGATGAGATATTCATAAGAACGTAAAGAAAAATGATGGTTGTGCAATTAATGAGAAAACAGCAGAAAGCTCATGGCAGAACGGATGAAGCCTGGATGTGTACCAGTCTTGTCAGACACAAAGAGCGCTAGGTAGGCTAAGTCTAAATTAAGACAGAAAACTCATCTCTAGTGGTGATGATGATGATAAGTGGCAGTTAGGAAAAAGACTGGTTTGCTGCTCTTTCAGTTCTATGCCATCCAAAATAAAATTATTTCCCAGAGACTACATCAGAGAAACAGTCTCATGTGGAATTAGACAGAAGAAGTCAGAGCCAGTGGTCCAAATCTGTATTTGTAGATCATCATCCATATGGAAAACACGGATCCTCATCCACATGGAGAGTCTTTTTCTGCCTCTCATCCCACCGCACCAGCGAGTAGGCTGGGGGTGCACAAGGAGTTGGGAAGGGACACAGCCGGACAGCCGACCCCAACTGACCCAAGGGATATCCCATACCGTATGATGTCATGCTCAGCATATAAACTAGAGGGAAGAAGAAGAAGGAAGAGGGGGACATTCAGAGTGATGGCCTTTGTCTTCCCAAGTTACGCATGATGGAGCCCTGCGTTCCTGGACATGGCTGAACACCTGCCTGCCCATGGGAAGTGGTGAATGGATTCCTTGGTTTGCTTTGCTTGCGCACAGCTTTTACTTTACCTATTAAACTGTCTTTATCTCAACCCATGAGTTTTCTCACTTTCACCCTTCTGATTCTCTCCCTCATCCCACCAGGGGGGAGTGAACGAGCGGCTGGGTGGGGCTGAGTTGCCGGCTGGGGTTAAACCACAACAATAATGAAGCATGTATGCAATAAGCATAAACTGGGATTGGTAACATATAATACTCACCACTTTTGCATCTAGAGCGACCTGAGCAAAGCCTTTTCGATTTCCCCACATGAGCTGATAACTTTCGTCACTGAACAGTGCTTCTCTAACTCCACCTGGTGAGATGGACACCAAGTGTCCATTCTTCAGTGCAATGAGACACTCCTCCCTTGTACCTGGCATAACACCTGTCACTTCCAGTAATAATTTAAGTCCTGCGATAAATAAGTAGCAAGTACATATTATTATAACAATGTATCACAAATACTGCTTGCATGTAGGAACAAGATTACAGCTAAATGAAAATCTGATAGCTATATATTTAGACTAAAGGCAAATTTGTACAAAGGAAGTAAAACATCTACAGAGTAAATATCGGCAAAATGACAAATACGTGACAGTGTTTCTGCCCAGATGTTAGGAAGATAAACCAGCTTATTAGGAGCATCTTGATAAACTAATGCTTTCACATGCCATTTACCGTAATTATCAAAACAGCAGCCATGCAACTGAAACATGTGCATCATAGCTAGAAATCTGAAAATAAACATCCCTTCCTCCCTCCTTCTTTTTAAATATTTTAATACAGAAAAAATATAATTTTTCAGAACAATAAAGATTACTACAAAAACAAATGCCTCACAAGCAACTATTTTTGGTGTTCTTTTAAAATGTGATGCTTAACATTTTAAATGTTGAGTTTCTGAGTGGTTAAATTGAGTATTTTGTGTTTAAATTGCAAACTACCTGTATCAAATTGGACTGCTGTATGACTCCTAAGATGCATGAATGGCAGAAGTTAGCAGGGCAGTTTCAGCACTGCATGAACAGTTTCGTGAATCTCCTTCCTTTGTTCTCATAACTGGGATTTCTCCAAAAGACAGACTGAGAACCACAGAAGCACTCTGCTTTCTTACACTATCTTCACATTTTAAATCTATCAGTTTGGAACTCTCCATAGAGAGCTTCAGCAAATGAGAGTTTTCCCAATCTTCAAATTCACTGTTCCAACAGCATGGTTTGAAAATAAATTGTTTATATTAATAAACATAAATAACAACTGTGGACTGCCAGAACTGCTGCCTCGCACTGCAACTTTGACAGAGGTCTGCAAGAGAAACTTTGGAAAACAGTGGAAAACACTGGGCCACATCTTGTAATTGAATTATATTTAATCTTATTCAAGGCATCATGTTTGATTGATCCTTCAGTCAAAGTCAGATGTTGACTTTGTTTAATCCTTTTGTGAGCTCATGTTCCTGTTTTATCCTGCAGCCAG